TAAAACATTTAGAAAACCACTGTGTGTAGCTAAGCACAATAGGAACTTGGGCCCAGGAGCCAGGTGAGGGGAAAATCTTCTTGTCACAGTCTTGCAAGCTTCTTTGGCTCAAACTCTGAGGCATGAAAAAGCCTTTGTCTCAACATGGGGATAAGGCTTCCTGGTCCACATGGCAACAGAACAGCCTTTGACCTAGGAAGAGTTTGTAGGGAGGAGCTAGCAAATGGTGTAGCAGTTACATCACTGGACTCCCACATGGTCGAAAGTGATTCGAGTCCCAGACCCAGTAGCTTGAAAATCATGCCAGGCCCATGTACATGCATGCCTAAGATATTAGGAGGAGAATGGAGAAGAAGAGCTTGTGGCATGGCCATCCCCTCTGTGGGGTGATTTCTCACTTTATCTCTCTCTCTTTCTCTCCCTCTATTCCAAGGAAACATCCCTAAGGCAAAAAACTCTCAAAAAACAACAAAAAAAAGGAGTGTGTAAGAAACACTTGGGCCTATACTATATGTAGCTCTAAGTTTCTGCAATGTAATTCCCTTTCAGCATTTCTGAATCTTCAATAAAATATTATTAACAGATATAGACTTTTCTTTACACTGCTCTGGTGACCTGGGAGAAGTGCTATACTCACACCTGAGATAAAACGGAGCAGGATATAGCAGCACATTCTTCCTTCTGGCCAGATCGGGAGGTACCAGCACAAACCTCCAACCAGGATCAGATGGATCAGTGCAGTGAACCCACAAGACTTTGTTTCAAGAAATAGGCCTAGGTCCAATGAATAACTATATGGAAAAACATTAAACATTAATCTGCCTTGCAACACCCAGGGAAAAAATTCCAAGTGAGTGTACATCTAAACAATGTACAATGTTCATGAAAAACAATGTAATAAGGTCTCTAGAGACATGATCTGGAGGCAAGAAAAGACTTCTTAATTGGAACATGAATAATCATAAAAGAAAAGCCTAATAAATTTGACTACACTAACATAAAAGACTTGAGTTCAAAGTATATAATTACAAAGAGTAAAAAGGCAACTTTTCCAGTTCTAAATCTTTCACCCGCTTCACCTCACCGGGGCTCGCGACCCGTCGCCTCGCGTAGTCTCGCCTTGCTGGTGCAGTCCCGAGCATGCGCCACACCTTTCCAGTCTACGTCAAGCCTCGCCTTGCCATGCTCTGCCTCCTCCCCTGCAGTGACGTCACCTGGCCGTGCTCCGCCTACAGTCCCGTCGCAGCCTCACCCACTGGGAGCCCCAAGGCTAGCGTTCCCTGTCGGCCCAAGGCTAGCGTTTCCTGTCGGCCAGAAAGATGGTTCTTGGATTTTAACAACCTTCTTTTTTTAATTATTTTATTTAACTTTATTTATGTATTTATT